TCCACTCTGTTGCACGTAGGCTCAGACACAGATGCAGCATGGAACACTGGCACACATTCCCAAAACCCACTCCCCTCAAACAAAGCCCCGGTGCGGAAGAAGCACACTGCGGGACAGACTCTCCATCAAAACCCACCAGCAATACCAAGCAGGGCGCCGGTGGATCCAACAGATTCTAACGAACAACAAGTTAACAGCCAGGCCCAGATCGCACAGCTGGCTCCTTTCTGGACTGAGGTAAACAAGCCTGCAGCCACACCTCGCTTTCCCCGCCAACTCCACCCTGACAGATTCGAGACCCAACGCGGGAAAGCTGACAGTGAAGAGGGATGAAGGAACAGGAATTCAGGATCTCCCCAATCCTCGAATGACGTTCAAACCTGATCAGCAGAGAAATGGAGCTCTAGACACGATTGTAAGTCATCGATGGAGCAACATTTTTGCACAAATAAACGTAAAAAATATTATAAAGCAAGAAGAAAAAATTAGGACAGGACAGACAGCGTGGCACATGAAGACAGTGGGAAAAAAGATGAGATTCAAGATTAGATTCATCACCTGTTTAAACAATCTCAAAGTTCAAACCTTTGTACCACAGAAACACCGCAGCTCTTTTTGTTGACACTGCTTCACTTTTGAGTTGCTCAACTGCATTTTCCTTGCCAATAGTTTGCTAGTTGTTTGGGGGGGATGTTCTATGCATTTACCACAACAACGCTTGGTCATTCGTGTCCCAGAGCTGGGAGCGTCCACAACGGCAGACTCGCAGATCTTTGGCTGCAGTGGACCAGCAAAGCTCAATATCCTCGGTCAGCTTACCTAGTTATGATTTTAGTACTAAGTTCTACCGCGTTTTTTTTTTTTGTGCTAAAAACGCCCAGGAAAACTCCGTTAGCTTTGGGTTAGTATGTAGCTAATGCCTTGCTGATCTCTCTGCAGCGCTCCAGTTTGTCATCTCAGCTGGTTCTGTTGACAAAAGTTAAACTTACTGCCAGTGTTAACTTTAATTTTCTATTTAGTTGCTGGCCGGCCGGAGCTTGGCAGAAACTCCCCATGTCACCATGACTGTTGTGCCAAGGCACAATAGCCATTTAAAAGACAGACAATTACCGCAAAATGTGCGCATTGCCATGCCAGCATGGCGCATTGATAAGACACCATTGTGGTAATATTATGCTGATCTGGTGGCACTGTGTGTTTGAAAAAAACGGCCATATTGTACTAGAAATCCAAAGGTCAAAGTGGGTAACACCCCCTAAGGTGGTAGAGAACGACTGAGCCAAGCTCCTGTGGGGCTTTCAGATCCAGACCAACAAACAGGTGATGGCGAACCAACCGGACGATGTGTGATTAACAAACACCAGAGGACAGCCGTTTTGGTTAACGTGGCATTACCAAGTGATGCAACATCAGGAAAAAGGAACACGAGAAACTAGAGAAGTACCAGGGCCTCAAAGAAGAGCTTGAGAAAGCCTGGAGAGTGAAGACATCGGTGGTACTCGTGGTCCTCGGGGCAGTAACCAACAAACTGTAGGAGTGGCTAAAGCAGATCCCAGAAAAACCATCAGTTTTCCTCTCATTATTATCCATTTAATCTTTTTTATGCGCTTGTGAAGGAACTTAATAAAACTTTCTTGTGTTACTCCAATAATTCAAGGAGGAAAACCAAAGGTGAAAATTGTTTTCAAATACAGGGAGTGCAGAATTATTAGGCAAGTTGTATTTTTGAGGAATAATTTTATTTTTGAACAAAAACAATGTTCTCAATGAACCCAAAAAACTTATTAATTTCAAAGCTGAATGTTTTTGGAAGTAGTTTTTAGTTGTTTTTTTTTTGTTTTAGCTATTTTAGGGGGATATCTGTGTGTGCAGGTGACTATTACTGTGCATAATTATTAGGCAACTTAACAAAAAACAAATATATACCCATTTCAATTAAGTATTTTTACCAGTGAAACCAATATTACATCTCCACATTCCCAATTATGCATTTCTGACATTCAAAAACAAATCAGCGACCAATATAGCCACCTTTCTTTGCAAGGACACTCAAAAGCCTGCCATCCATGGATTCTGTCAGTGTTTTGATCTGTTCACCATCAACATTGCGTGCAGCAGCAACCACAGCCTCCCAGACACGGTTCAGAGAGGTGTACAGTTTTCCCTCCTTGTAAATCTCACATGTGATGATGGACCACAGGTTCTCAATGGGGTTCAGATCAGGTGAACAAGGAGGCCATGTCATTAGTTTTTCTTCTTTGATACCCTTTCTTGCCAGCCACGCTGTGGAGTACTTGGACGCGTGTGATGGAGCATTGTCCTGCATGAAAATCACGTTTTTCTTGAAGGATGCAGACTTCTTCCTGTACCACTGCTTGAAGAAGGTGTCTTCCAGAAACTGGCAGTGGGAGTTGAGCTGGACTCCATCCTCAACCCTAAAAGGCCCTACAAGCTCATCTTTGACGACACCAGCCCAAACCAGTACTCCACCTCCACCTTGCTGGCGTCTGAGTGGGACTGGAGCTCTCTGCCCTTTACCAGTCCAGCCACGGGCCCGTCCATCTGGCCCATCAAGACTCACTCTCATTTCATCAGTCCATAAAACCTTAGAAACATCAGTCTGGAGATATTTCTTGGCCCAGTCTTGACGTTTCAGCTTGTGTGTCTTGTTCAGTGGTGGTCATCTTTCAGCCTTTCTTACCTTGGCCATGTCTCTGAGTATTGCACACCTTGTGCTTTTGGGCACTCCAGTGATGTTGCAGCTCTGAAATACGGCCAAACTGGTGGCAAGTGGCATCTTGGCAGCTGCACGCTTGACTTTTCTCAGTTCATGGGCAGTTATTTTGTGCCTTGGTTTGTCCACACGCTTCTTGCGACCCTGTTGACTATTTTGAATGAAACGCTTGATTGTTCGATGATCACGCTTCAGAAGCTTTGCAATTTTAAGACTGTTGCATCCCTCTGCAAGATATCTCACTATTTTTGACTTTTCTGAGCCTGTCAAGTCCTTCTTTTGACCCATTTTGCCAAAGGAAAGGAAGTTGCCTAATAATTATGCACACCTGATACAGGGTGCTGATGTCATTAGACCACACCCCTTCTCATTACAGAGCACATCACCTAATATGCTTAAATGGTAGTAGGCTTTTGAGCCTATACAGCTTGGAGTAAGACAACATGCATGAAGAGGATGACGTGGACAAAATACTCATTTGCCTAATAATTCTGCACTCCCTGTAAATGTAGTAACAAAACAATGAATACAGAGTTTTTCCTTTTTCCGCTGCCAATTCGTAAAGAGACTAGCCAGCACCATGTCCAGTGACGAGTCGTACGTAAGGACTAATTTCTACTAACAAGTTTATTTTACAACAGTATTTACTGTTAGTACATCTTCTGGGCTCAGAATCAGCTGTTTGATTTAATGAGTCCGCCATTTTATACAGTCCTAGCCTCACCTTGCCAAGTGGCTTTTAACCCTTTTGGCTGGGAGATGTAAACACAAACCCAGTGTCGTACCAGTCAAAATAAAATGTTGCTTATTTATTTTTTAAACCAAGCTTTTAAAAGAGAAACTATATGTTTATTCTGCACCTTTAAATGCACCGTGGAGGTTTTTTTTTGGAAAGATAGCTTTTTATTAAAATGTTCCATATTCCATGTCTAATGTTTCACCAAGATCTTCCAATGAAGATCATCTGCCTCTCTTCTTCCCCTGATGCACACATCACTCTGGAACAGGGTACATCTGGAATCATCAGAGCAGGTTTTAACAATGCGTTGGACATTAACCTGATTTCAGGAGTTTCTGCAATCTCCTTGAATGTTTTCTCTGCTTGATGAATGCCAATGATCTCACCCTTCTCAAAAAAAAAATTATTTTTCCAGGAACCAACTCATTGCACCAGTAGCTTGTTGCCAGCTGAAAGATAGTCGCCCATGCAGTAATTAGCCAATACGATGTTTGAACCTATTTACTTAGTTAAATCCAGGTGGTGACATTTTTTGGGCCAGTCAGTTTACTTTAGTCTGCTTATTATTGTTGCAAAACAAAGCGTAGACTGAATATTGTTACATGACATCAGTCAGCTTAGGTGAAAGAGCGACTCTTCTATGGTGAGATAGCCTGAGATTTAGAAACTGAATATAAATAATTCATGCCAAGATAAAGGTGCTTTTGCACATTCGATCTGTAGCAGATGCAGAGTGAAATCCTGCCAACGGAGCTCTCAGTCTGCTTCATCAGCTCTCGCTGCTATGTAAGCTAGGACTCGGCAGTCAGGAAGGAGAAAAAATCAAGATCATCCGATAGGCTGAGATATGAACCAGATCACCCAATCACAAAACCACATGTAAATAGTTGCTAGGTGTAGACAGAAAAAAACTTTCTGCTTCAGGGAGTGTGCTCGATGCTGCCTCCAGGTGGACAAAGTCAGAAAGGACACCCACTGGATTTGAAAACCCTGTGATGTGTCCCGGTGTTTTTTTTTTTGAGGTATAGCACATATAAACTATGGCTTTTGATCATGACACATTCCTTGTAAATATATGTACTGTACATAATGTAAATGTAAATATACGTATATAATTTTGTGGCTTGCTAAATCTGATCATGTCTTCTGCTGGACATTTTGGGAAGAAGCGGAGGAAGGCAGAAAGTGTGGAACTCCATTTTAAGCATTACAGCAATTTTACATGAAAAACATCCTGGCATTTCATTCAACATGTTCACTAGTAAGCTACTGGAAGAGCTAATGATATTTAATTTCTTCTAGTAATAATGTAATTGTGGCATATCAGTCAAACCAGAAAAGGTGGAGTAGCAATCAGACATCAGTGATTCTTCTGTGACTTTAAAACACCTTAGCTGCTTTCACGTTCCACTTCGAATATTACCTCTAGCTTTCAACTATTACATTTACTTCCCAGTTAGATGAGAAGTGTATAAGTGAGGATTTATTTAATCTCGCCGTCAGAAAAGAAACTCAGCAGGAGCTCACCTGCATCTCCTTCTCGCCATACTTTGACGGGTTCTTGCTGCCTTGGCTTTTCCTTCGTAGCTTCTTTAGCTCTGCCTGGCATTTCTCCATACTCTCTCCTTTGCTCTTGTGTTCCATCTGGTACTTCTTCAAGGCAGCCTGTATGGAACAGCAAGCAGCAAAAAGATTTAAATCAAACCTCCGAAAGCTATTGCATATTGAAAAGTGAGTTTTAGTAAGTGAGTAAGTTTTATTCATATAGTACTCAAAGACAGATTCACAAAGTGCTTCACATATTGTAGATCAAAACAAAACAGTCATAAAATAATAATGATCTTAAAACAGAAATGGATTAAAATCCAAGAAATAAAATCACAAAATTATAAAATACTATAAAACAAATGAAAGATGATTACAAACTTGAGTTAAAAATAAGAAAATAAAAGGGTCTTTAGCTGTTTTTTAAAAGTGTCCAGACTATCAATACTGCGTAAGAATAAAGGAAGATCATTCCAGAGTCGGGGTGCAACAGTCTGGAAGGAGCGATCACCTTGACTTTTGTATCTGGTCTTTGGAGCTTCTAGAAGGTTCTGGTGTGTGGACCTGAGGGCTCGGGTTGGAGCATAAGGCTTCAACAGTTCAGTAACATAGGGATGAGCTTGACCATGTAGAGCCCTGAAAGTTCTAGTCAGGACTCTAAAATGAACTCTAAAGTTAACGGGTAACCAGTGCAGAGGCATCAGAACAGGAGTGATGTGTGCTCTTCTGTTTGCTCCAGTTAGGAGCCTCGCTGCAGAGTTCTGGACCAACTGAAGGAGGTCAAGGGCTTTTTTGTTATAACATGTGAAGAGTGTGTTACAGTAATCTAGACGGGAGGAGATAAAGGAATGGATAACCATTTCAAGTTCATGTTTTGACACCAACCTTCAGTTTGGAGATATTTTTTAAATGTTAAAAACCGTTTCGGACCAACGTTTTTGAGTGACCTTCAAGAGACACTGACTGGTCAAAAACACCACCCAAATTCAAAAAGTTTGACTTGACGGCAGAGGATAAGTGACCAAGTTGTTGACTAATCAGGGGAACCATGCTCTTAGGGGCAATGATCAGACATTAGTCTTTTCAGAGTTTAACTGAAGGAAGTTATCTTCTAGCAAGCTGGTGATAGCTGACAGACACTCTAGTCATTCAGACAGTTTATAGAACTCTGAATCCTTAAAGGGGCAGTACAGCTGAATATCATCTGCATATAGGTGATAAGAGACATTATGAAAAGATTCAATTACCTGTCCAAGAGGGTGTATGTACAGCAGAAACAACAGTGGACCCAAAACAGAGCCTTGGGGTACCCCACAGAACAGATCAGTGGAATCTGGCATGATTTGGTTTATACAGACACTGTAACTTCTGTTAGAAAGGCACGATCTAAACCAGTCTAGAACAGTTCCAGAGATCCCCACCGAGTCGCCAAGTCTGTTAATTAAGGTGCTGTGATCAACAGTGTCAAAGGCTGCAGAAACAGCTAACAATACTAACACTGTGAACTCCCCGTTCAGATGAGAACAGATCAATTTTATTTATAAAGCGCATTTTATATGACGAGGAGTCAGAACAAAGCGCTGACAACACAGACTATAATATTTACATAAAGCCATTTAAAATCCTTAAGACAGAAAAGATCAAAACAGAACTAAAAATTAAAATAAATAAAATAAAAGACTCAGACTGCGTCAAAAGCTTGCCGATATAAGTGTGTTTTCAGGGCGGATTTAAATGATGACAGCGAAGTTGCCTGATGCAGCCGTTGTCTGCAGCCATCATAATGTCACTGGAAACGTTAAGCAAAGCTGTTTCTGTTGAATGCTTTTTACCAAAACCAGACTGGAATTTATCAAAACTGTTGTGTAGTTCCAGAAAAGTAATCAGTTGATCTGCCACAACTTATTCCAGTATTTTAGAGATAAAGGGTCATTTAGAAACGGGTTTGTATTTTTTAGGCTGAGATGAGTCCAAACTTGCTTTTTTGAGGATAAGTTCAATAACTGCATGTTTGAAAACAGATGGTACAGAGCCAGAATGTGGAAATAAATGAATAAAATCAACAATGCATGGACCAATTTGGTCAAAAATCCTAATGAACAAGGTATTAGGAATAATGTCAAGAGGGCATGACGTTGGTTTAATACATTTCTGAATGAGGCAAATGTCCTGGAAATCTACAGGGCTAAAGAAGGGCCCTGATTGGGAGGAAGGTGGTTGGATGGGAAAGTAGGAAGTGGATAGGGAAGGTGAAAAACGTGCCGATATTTCTAATTTTACTCTCAAACAATGCTAGAAAGTACAGTCAGACCTTGAGTAAACTGGCATAAGAGAAAGAAAGAAAAAAAAAGAAAACAATGTTTTATACAGAGCCTCTCAAGATACAAATCACAAGGTTCTTCACAAAAACTAAAAAATTAGAACATAAAAAAAGATTTTTAAAAATTATTAAAAATATGTTTAAAATGTGAAAAAAATTGTGATAAAAATAATGTTAAGAAAAGGGAGAGAAAAAAATGTATATGAAAGAGAGAAATTGGGATCCCGGGAAAGGCGGAATAAGAGTAGAACAAGGACAGGGTTGTGATAAAGGTCACACAAAAGCCATCTTGAACAGGTGAGTCTTCAGCTGCTTTTTAAAGGAGACCACTGAGTCCACTGGTCCCAGGCTCAGGGGGAGAGAGGTCCAGAGTCTGGGGGCCACAGCAGCAAATGATCTGTCACCTTTGACCTTTAGCCTGGTGCTGCACAACCAGTAGGCTTTGATCACTGGACCTCAGGGACCTGCTGGGGGTGTAGGGACTAAGAAGATCACCAATGTAAGATGGTGCTTGTCCATGTAAGGCCCTATAGACCAGAACCAGGATCTTGAAATGAACCCTGAAGTTGACTGGCAGCCAGTGAAGCTGGAGGAGAAGCGGGGTGATGTGGGTGTGTTTGGAGGACTTGGTCAGAAGCCGAGCACAGGCGTTCTGAACCACCTGTAGACGGTTCAGGGAGGTTCTGCTCAGACACGTGAAAAGAGAGTTACAGTAGTCTAAGCGTGAGGAGATGAAGGTGTGGAGAACTGTCTCAAGTTCAGAGCGGGACAGAATGGGACTCAGCTTAGCAACGTTCCTGAGATGGAAGAAGGAAGAGCCAACAAGAGAACTGACATGAGAATCCAGGGTGAGAGCTGGGTCAAAGGTCACGCCAAGATTCCTGATGGAAGGTTTGGTGTGGAAAGCAAGCTGACCAAGAGAGTCTCTGACTTTGGGAACCAGCTTGTCTGGGGCACAGATGAGGATCTCAGTCTTATCTTCATTCAGCTGAAGAAAGCTCCCACCATCCAGGTTTTGATAGAGTCTAAGCAGGTGTGTAACAGCTGCAGCTTAGACATCTCATGGGGCTTAAAGGAGATGTACAGTTGGATGTCATCTGCATAAAGATGGTAGGAGATTCCTTAAAGAAGCTCAGGATGTGCTGAAGAGGAAGCAGATAGAGGAGGAAGAGAGGCGTGAGGTGAAATAATCTGGTTTTAATGTGTCAAACAGAACTTTAGTTATTTTTGTTTACAGCAATCAGCTGAGTAAAGTAAGTGGCCCTGGAACTTATCACCATTTCATCCAAAGATACTATCAGTTCTTTTAAGTGCAGTTTGACTTTCTAATCTGGTTGACTTCCAATGCCTCTCGGCTCTGCGACATGTCCTTCTGAGAGTGAGACGGTAAATGTTTTTGACTAATCCAAGGACTTTTCCTTCTTTTAGATAAAACAATATCTGCGTAACGGGAACCACCCTAAGATACTGCAGCATCGCTTGTTCAAACTTGGATCATTACCATGAACTGAGCTGCTGTCAAATAATCTAGAGAATCCATCCACTGCTGACTGATGATACGTCTCTTTGATTTCGGTTTGTGAGGGACAGATTCAATGTTAGATAGGACATGAAAGAAAATGCAGCTGTGGTCACTCACATGGATATCTTCAACATGTAAATGATCGAGTCTGAACCTTCAACCTATTGAGAATACAGGGGGATAGTGGGCTGCCAGCTCTCACACACTGAACATGTGACATACACATCTGACCCCCATGACACGCTCTCATAAATCCAACAGAACCGTTCGGGCTGATTTGATTCGGGTCCGGTCTCAGGTCATAACTCCAGTGCTCAGCCCTGCAGTACCACATCTGTTTATCATCATGAAACAAGAAGAATAGAACCTGCAACCTTCTGACTACTGGACAACCCGCTCTACCTGTTGAGCTACTGCTGCCCTAAACTTTACATTTACATTCATCTTTGCAGTTCTTTTACTTTCTGGGGCACATTTATGTTTCAGCGAGCCTTTTCACCATGACTGATCATTTTCTGTTTTCCTGTTTATGTGGAGAGTCTGGATAACCTAGTCTTTTAATTCAATTCAATTCAAGTTTATTTATATAGCGGCAAATAATGGCAAGAGTCGTCTCAAAGCACTTCACACAGTAGATGGAGGCACTTTGGAGGCAGGGTTGCATTCTGCCCTCTACACTCCGTTAGTAGAATATCACGCAAACACACAAAAATCTGAGCATATAAAAAATTCTAAATGTGTAGACAACCCTTTTCAACCACAGCAGTTCAGATGATAAGGAATGTGTCCGTCTTTAGATTCAATCTGAACCAAACCTGGCAAGATCTTTTGAACCAATTCTCACTTCTCAACTAGAAAAAGATTTAGCTGATGTTTTTGTAAAACTCATGGTCAAAAGTGTGTGTGTGAGCAGCTGTGAGCTTATGGTTGTGATTTCCAATAATACAACAGAATAATGGCAAAGTTATCCCATCCCCCAAAACAAGGCTCAGAAGAACTGCTGTACACTTAGGCTGCAGCCCACTCGTTCTAAAGATATCACATGTAGGCCCACTCTACAGCACTCACACACACTCTACAAGAGGCTTATTATAATCAGTCTACCCCTGATGGTTCAGTAGACATGAAATGTTGCAGAAACAGAACTTAACACACAGACATGTTCACCACAGGCTCTGTTATAACAATGTTTGAATTCACTTCATTTTTCCCGATTATCACTTAGGAAATCAAACAAAAAGTCAGTAACGTTTTTCAGATTCGGTTCAACAGTATAATCATTTTTAATTTGAAAGTCAGACATCTCTAAGAATTTTTTGACCTTCATCTTCATCACTTTGTTCGACAATGGTCAGGTAGAAGCGCTGCAGTGGGGGTGCGCGAGCTGCCGCTAGGGGGTGCGCGAGGTGAAAAGTGTAATGGCTGCGGAGCTCAGAGAAGTCTGTCACATGTCACCATTAGCGTAGCCAGAAACTCATTTGTGGGTGCGCCTAAGAAAAAGTAAGTGGGCCCAATAAATGTGATTTAAAACAAGTATATTTTTGCGTGTGTGTGTGTGTGTCCTCCGCATGTGCCCTAGCTTCATAATAACAATGCGCCGAGCTTCAGCACTCTGGCCTGCACACGCCGATATGTTCCATATTTGATCATTTTTAACGGTGTTGGAGGAATCTGAAGGTGGCGAGTCATTCTGGCAGATTGTAATTAACACCTGTCTCATGCAGGTGTTCTGACATTGTAAACCTCACACACAGAACATTGTGGATGTAACTAAATAAATCAAGAAATGATTCCCATTCAGGCTATTAACAGCGCGCTGAAGATCCGAAGTTCAGAGTGCGTCTGTCAGAGGTCAGACGCGTTCCAGCGGAACCACGGCTCACGGGTGCACAAGTGAGCACATCTGGGCTGGGCAGAAGGAATTTACTACATTGGTTTAAATAGCGCCGATAACAAGACGTGGTGACTGGAGCGGCTCATGGAGCTGTGCCGCATGCGCGCGCACACGCACACACACACACACACAGATTCAAGAAGCGCGCACGCTGCGCAAACTCCGGCGTGCCGTCAGACTGAAGACAGAAATGAGCGCTGCCTCCTCTGTGATAAAAACTTTTAAGAGGTTTTATAACATTTTTCATTCCAGGTCAAATTAAGCTATTAGCTTCTATTTTGGGATGATGTATTAAAGTCGGGAACGCTCCAGCCAGTGACTCCGAACCTGACTACAACTCCTTACTGCAGCATTTGTTATTCCAGTCCGCGTGGCAGCGGATCGCAGATTCAGCCACACCATAAAACAGCAAAAAGTCGGTCTGAGGCAAAAGTGAACCTCATGGCTATATCTTTTCCATCTTGTCCCCTGTAGACATTTGATTACGCACAAGTAGGTGACCAGTTCAGGTTTACGCAGAGCAGAAGGAAGGAGAGCGCTCTGGCCGCACAGGTTAAACGTTCCTACTTTAAGAAAACCGTTAAATTGCATTTTTTATGTGCTACCTGGGCACTCTAAATATTTATTTTAAATTAAATCAAAGGAAATTGTAATGGTATCGAATGTTTATTAATTACTATTTAAAAAATGAAAGTGATGGGGAAAAAGGTCGATCATATTTTTTTAACCCTGTCTGTTTAGCTTGACGTCTGAGATATATATATATATATATATATATATATATATATATATATATATATATATATATATATATATATATATATATATACATATATATATATATAGCCATGCCCTGATGTGGGGGCTGCGTCGTCATGGCCAGGACATAGAAGGGGGTGCGCGGCTAAATAAGTTTGGGAACCGCTGGTCTAGAAGTTCCGAAGACCAGATACAAAAGTCGAGGTGATCGCTCCTTCCAGACTGTAGCACCCCGACTCTGGAATGATCTTCCTTTATCCTGACGCAGCATTGACTGTCTGGACACTTTTAAAAAACAGCTGAAGACCCTTTTATTTAAAGATGCTTTTATTAAATCTTTTGTTCTCTTATTTTTAATCTTTCATCTGTTTATACAATTTTATAATTTTATGACCTTATTTTTTGTAATGTTAATCAATTTCTGTTTTGAGATCATTATGTTTTATTTTGTTTTGATCTATGTGAAGCACTTTGTGATTCTATGTCTGTGATATGTGCCATATAAATTAAATTCACTTACTCACTCAATGAAACCCACAATGGTTGTGTCATCCTCTAGTAGAGAGCCGATTCACCAATTAACAATGCATCGCGATGTGACACGTGCCACTTCAAAATGTCCAAACAATCATAAAACAACTTGTCTGTCAGTTTTAGTCAATGAGCGTGAAATTTACTCGTCCGGATTAAAGGAAAGTTGAGTAAAACCAAAATGAAATACTCCAGCAACAGTACCACTTTGTGACAGCACCTTACGTGTTTCCATTCTGGGTTAGATGAAGAAAAGATGCTGGTTGTTTAAAAATTAAATCAATTATCAATGAAATAAGATAAATATTAAAACATAACATGACATGTTGGGCCATGGTTTGTTAAATTGTTTGAACCCAGTGGTCTCATTCGAAATGTGCCAAAGCCCTGTTGTTGAAAACACTAAAACCATAAAGAATCCTAAACTTGTTGGATGTTTATTTTACATTTGCTAATAACACCAGCAGGAGGCATTGGGCTGAATTAGGATTTAATGACCGCTACCACCCCTTCACTAACCAGCTAACCAACCTCTCCGGTACCAGTCCTTTGGAGACATTTTTTTAATAATCTCATGTCTGAGGGGAAGATTAATAAAACATTTAACTCAAAAGGTAGGCAAACATTTCCTCCCAATTTTCATAAAGTTGAATTTAACATAAATTCAAGTCATCCAGATTAATGAAACAGAATAAAATTTAGCAAGAACTTCTACAGGCTGACACTGCCTTCAAAAATTGTGGTGAGTGATATCTGTAGAGATTTCAGTCTGGCAAGATAATCTTCCACATTCTTTAAAAGTGGGATGTAGTTCTGCTTTGATAAATCTGCCAGCCTGGGAGAGAAATTAATGCCCAAGTATTGGGCCATTCCCATCTGTACCGGGTCGGCCCGGGCCGGGTAGCCCCAGTCGGCCCCAGCCTGGCCCGGTTGATTCCACACATCCTTGTCTTAAGCCCATGTGGGCTGATTCTACCCACCAATCAGAGGCTTGCTCTAATGGAAGGTGTGAATTTGCTGTCAGCAGTGGGTGTGTTGGCCCTGGTCGGCCTGAAGCAGACCGCCTCAAGAAGAGGGCTGAGAATGAGCCTTGGTTGGCCCGGAAAAATACCAGGCCACCCAGATATGTAAACAACCTACGCTACCCGGCCCGGGCCGGCCCGGTACAGATGGGAATGGCCCATATGTTATTTTACAATGCCTTTTGGAAACACAGTCAGATGAACCTTTCTGAGCCTGCCTTAAAGGAATAAAAGGAATGATGTGGATACTCACAGTCAAATATCGAGCATCCAAATCCACCTTCTTCTCCAGCTCTGAGAGGAGTTCATTGTGAAAGGATTTTAGCTAGGAGAGAAAAACAGGAGAAAATGTGACATATTAATGAATTGAATATCGAATCAACCTTATTTTCTTTCCATACACTGAGAATTTTATTAAAGTACCCACATGCCAGTCTTATTTGAGATCATTTTCAGACCAGGTCCAATACCAATACAATGCTTTGTTTAGATACGTTTCAAACTGAGAAATTTTAACTTTTGTGGGTTTAATCTGTGACAATAGTAGCAACATCTGAAATCCACCCCTAATTATAAGAAGTGCTGTGAAAAACGCATAACTGCTCACTCATATGATTTTTTTCTGTATCCCAATCTCAGGATATACAGGTGCTGGTCATAAAGTTAGAATATGATGACAAAGTTGATTTATTTCAGTTTGTCAAAAAAGTGAAACTTGTATATTAGATTAATTCATTACACACAGACTGATATATCAAATGTTTGTTTCTTTAATTTTGATCATTTTAACTGACAACTAATGAAAATCCAAAATTCAGTATCTCTGAATATTAGAATATTGTTAAAAGGTTCAATATTGAAAACCCCTGGTGTCACACGCTAACCAGTTCATTAACTCCAAACACCTGCAAGAGCCTTTAAATGGTCTTTCAGTCTAGTTTTGTAGGCTACACAACCATGGGGAAGACTGCTGACCTGGCAGTCGTCCAAAAGACGACCAATGACACCAAACAGTCATGGCTAAAGGGGCTGACTGTTCACAGAGCTATGTGTCTGTGCACATTTATAGAGGCGATGGTACAAGTAATAGGGATAACCGCACCCTGGAGAGGACCGTGAAACAAAACTCATTCAGAAATGTGGAGGAGCTTCACAAAAAGTGGACTGCAGCTGGAGTCAGTGCTTCAAGAACCACCACTCACAGACGTACACAAGATATGGTTTCAGCTGCTGCAATTCCTTGTGATTGATTATATCTAGAATGGGGCAGTAACCAAAGGAAATGCATCTTTAAAATATTTGGTTGGGATTGGATCTAAAATGCAAGTTGAAGATATAGATGAAGCTAATATTTTTGATAATTCTGAAAGCTCAACTGGATCAAAATGGTTCAAGCACAGATGAGGTTCTACAGTTACCTCTGATGCCACCTCACTTACTGAGAAAGAAAGAAATCGCATTAGGGAGGATGCTGATGATTTTCTAATAGAACTAATTTGTGTGTAATGAATGTTAAAGTTTCACTTTATGAATGGAATCACCGAAATAAATCAACTTTATCATGATGACACAGACACGGACACACACACACACACACACACACGGATTGTTGCAAAGTTGGCAACCCTGCAGATGTATGATAAACCAATGAACTTTTTCTAAAGCAGGGCTTCTTTGTAGTTTATGATGAAATATGTCTGAGTGCTTTCTTCAACATTAGATGCTTCATTAGATAAAATATATATTAGCAAAATATCATTAATTGTTTGTACAGAAGAAGTATTATGATTGAATAAACCAATCTAGTAACATTACTGAGCAGAAACATAATACAATTAAAGTGAATATGGTTTCAATAACTCATTGTACTTTAATCTTCTAGTTCACATACATAATATTTGAGTTTAGAATACCAACCATCTCCTCTAACTGCACTTGGATCTGTCTGTGGACCTCAGCCATCTGGAACAGCACATCCCCTTCACACAAGAGAAACACAGAGGAAACATGAATACTCTACAGCACAAGCAGTGGTTCAACCAACAAAACACGAGACAAGTGACTTGCAACTGGGACGACAAAGAACATAATGGAGGTTTGTTAGGTGGTAACAAATAATGACACGAAAATAAGGTTTCAAAAGGCAGAACAAGCATGATCAAATTAAGATAAAACATTAAATCAACTGCTTGACTGACAACATATCTAAAAAAAAAGTCCAAGTCTATAATGGAAAAAAGGAAATAAAAAAATAAGATATGATAAACAGGGTTCATGCAGCTAGTATTATGGTTTCATATACCTACAGGCTGCCTCTTCTGAATTTGCAATTCATTGTCAAGAAAAGAACCACAGAAAGCACATTGAGCAAAGGACACATACAAAGAGAGACCTGGTGGAAAGACAGCGAGTGATCCAAATGTACAGATTTATGACACACAGACATTTCTCTGACTTGGCTTTTGTTGGACACATTCTCCACATTCAGCTTTCAGGAAGAAATAACCAGCTTAATTACCAATTTTATCACTTAAATGAAGAAAGATAACATACACTTATTTTGGTGTCTACGTGAGACATCTTCGTTTCCTTTGAGCCATTCATTAGATGTCAGATTTGTTTCCCATCATCATCATTCAGTGTCCTTATATCAAAGCTGGTCTACCAAGAGCACATCTAAGCCAATGTTAAAACGCTTTGTCAGTTACAAGTTGTGCTAAAGGGGTTTCAAGACTAACTTTAAATTTGCACCGAAGGGTTTGGAGTGATTTCTGTCTCAGACGGTGAGCAGAATGAAGCTGATTACGACGTAGAAATTGAGACAGAACCAACCATAAACAATACAAGAAAAAAATGCAACATGTAAATAGTATACCATACATAAACACAGTTGGAAAAAGAGAATAGGTAAAATTCACATTCTTTATTAAAATGTCAGTGTTTTGTAGCAGCAAAAAAACAATGACATTTACTACAAAAAGTTTGCTCCCTTACAGAGGTGTTCCATTTTCTTTTCTGTGTCACATTTTAAAGTTTCACATCAGCACACACGTAGAAAGGATTTAGCATGGGCATAATGGAAATGTGGTACGTGTGGGACGAGTACCCCGCACTTCCCATGTCAGTGCCCTCTGCCCCCCATTCTTTTTTTAGCGTTCAAGGTGCAAAAATGTATATTCCAGAGACTATAAACACACCTTAAGCGTACACACTAACGTGAGAATGACAGGTGCTGCTGAGCAGGGACAGAGCAGCCAGCTAAAGGCTAAACACTGCAGGTTTCTCCAAACTCAAGAGCAGAGCTTCTGGTCGGTCGGTCGGTCGGTCGGTCGGTCGGTCGGTCGGTCGGTCGGTCGGTGTGTGTGTGTGTGTGTGTGTGTGTGTGTGTGTGTGTGTGTGTGTGTGTGTGTGTGTGATCTTTTTTAAAATAGTTCCAGCCCAAACCAGGAAAATTGATAGGTGTGACCCTGAAATTGTGGATGAACCGTCAGTGAAGGCTTTCACATCACAACTTCACCTCTCCTGGTTCCGACTCCACTGTGTGTGACTTCTTGCCTTCGGCACAAGCGAGTCACTTTGAGGCCGTGGAGCGTTCGGACTTGGGAGTGTTTGCTGTCACGCTTCAGGTAAGTGTGAACAACCACACACAAAAAATCGGATTTGCTCAAAACATCGTAACTAAGGATTAGGACCTGTAGTGTGAACGAGGCCCAAGCTGAGTCATGCTGTTGCATGCAGACAGCGTTAGTGCGTTGATGGCTAGCAATGGCTAACATTAATGTTTTTCCTCATTACATCCCCTGCTAAATAGTTAATGCTGGGAATAAACTTAATTATCTTTCACTGCAGCTTCCCTCATGTTTGAAAGAAATATTTATTCCAACAATAGACAGCAGAATCAGTGAGGGCCCATGGCATCAAATTGGCTTTAATTTCACCATTACTCATCCTAAATCTTTTTCAAAATTTGTTTTTTCCCAGTTTCTTTTATCTTTATTACCGCAAAAGACAGAGTGGAGTATAGGAGATATAAGAATGAGGCCAGCAGCTGGGACGAAGACACAAGGTCTTCACGGGTAAGGAGAGATTAGAACTTCCTGAGAAAGAGACTTCAATTGCTGGGAGAAACCAGGCAGGCATCAGGCTAGTGTTTTTCGGATCTTCCTGAATTATTTTATTACATTTTCAGAAATTGTGCCTTATTTTTATTGTTGGGACAGAAACCAGGCTGCAGCACTCACAGTATGATGCCTGCTGCTTGCTAATATTCAGAATTTCTTTTTTGTTCTTTTAATTGTAATAATAGTATTGATGGATAGTTAAATACTGTCTTTGAATCGCTATTAATATTGCTAATAACTAAGCCGACGATTAAAGGGTTCCCTTTCAGTCGATTCACTCGGTACAACAAAGGTACTAAGGGACATTGTGTGGCCTGGCTGAAGACACATCTAATCACGCCCGTAAAGGCAAATGTGTGTGACGCAGGTCGTGGCCCGGCTCTTGACATACAAGCCCCCAGCGTCACTGGCATTTCTCAGTTCTTACGCTCTTCACCTCTTTGATAACAAGTACAAAGAAACTATTGCTAGCTATGCTATTGAAAAGTTTGCTTAACTGCTTGCTGGTGCTGACTCTGCTGCCTTCTGGTCAGCGTTCGCCCACAGAGCGCTTCTTTTTCATGGCTTTTTTAGCTTTCTGCCTCCGTGCTCTTTCGGTTCCGCCTCTCTGCTGTGTATCTCGCTATGAGCTCCGTGTTGGACTCTGCTAGGCGAAGGTCTGCGGGTTTGCGACAGGACCTCATGCTGTAAAGCCTTTCTGCGTCGTAACGTCTGTTGTAAAGTACTCCACAATGTGCCCCCCCCCCCCCCCCCCCCCCAGGGAACAGTGATTATATGCATAACATTCTTTACCACAAGGGAAAGGTCATATAAAATGTGAGAGACTAAATAATTAATCAATAGATCTTCAAAAGAGTTGTGCCTTACTACACAGATGATGGTTTTGTCCCTGAATTTTGGTTTTTATGTATCATATCACCAGAATCTTGGGTACAAATTTACCACTTTGCCTCAAACATGCTAGAACAACCCTTTATTAGGGCTGAATTCTAACAATTTAGCAAAAGGTTGGAAGAAATAAGATTATCTTTGTCAGATATTTAAATTTGTTTGATTAAATGAAAAATTTAGAATATACAAAAAAAAACACACGTTATAAATAGTCAAATACCTTTCACACCTACGTTCCTGCTTTTAACTCGTTCACTGCCATTGATGACTAAAGTCGTCATTTGCATTTTTTTACTGCGTGGGCGTCAGAACGAGCCCCCGCACAATGAGAACAAACATCTCAGCTCTAAAGCCGTTCTTCTTCCGCATACGTCACACGTCACGTGATCAGGAAGCAGAAAATCCATGTGTTAGGAAATCGTTTTGGGCCGCTGCTGTAAAAAAAAAAGTGAGGTGCGAACCGGAAAAGCTTCTGCCGATCACAACTCAAAAACGTATTATGAAAGAACGGATAACGCTCGAAACGCGCAGATTCTTCCTGGTGTAAGAGGCGAGTCTCAGCTTTGTTTTGGTTGTTTTGGCATCGACATCATCCTAGCGCGTAACGTTCTGTGACTTAAAAACACAGTAAAAACGGTGAGAAACGCTGGCAGCGAAGGGCTTTACCGATCAGGAAATGGCTGGTAGCGAATGAGTTAAAAGGTTAAGGAGTAATCGTGTGCGTTTGTATTCAAAAACGCTTATCCTCATATATTTTATGGCTCTCACACAGTTTCTCAATCACAACCCTTTAGTTGTCTTGTTAAGACCATTTAAAAAACCTGTATTGTGCTCTTGGTTGTGTGATTGGTCAGAAATATTTGAATGTCATATTGACTAGTTTGTTTGAGGCTTGCCAAATAACTACTTGGCAGGATTTTTGCAAATATGTTACCTGGCGATGTTGAAATGTTCAAACTACAAATGAAGATTTTCAGATTCACGAACAGTGCATCTTAATAGCAGGAAAAAAGTACTCATTGGGTACATTTTGATATTCAGTACCATTACCACTAGTGGAACAAACCAGAGCCGGGCCGACGCAGATGACCGGACCCTTTAAAGGTCATGATAACATGATTTTAGCTATGGCGTGCTGTGTTTGGTAACTGGGCCTTTAGTGCCAGTTTGCTGACTTAACATGATGTTAGAACGGTGGCGGACTGGCCAGCTGTGATTTCTGGAGAATCACAGAATGGTCTAGGGCCGGTGTTGGCCCCACTGCCACCCCTACCCCTTGTGTCAGAGATCACCCAGGCTGCGGAAACGTCCAGCCTCCTACACAGTTAGGACCGGTACGGCAACTTCTAATTTTGAGTTTTTCTGGTCATTTATTAGTCAAGATTTTCGAGATTTCTGATAATATATCTGTATGTCCTCATACATCGGCCATCCACATCCCGATACGCTGGACTCGCGCTCCATGAGGGGCCACATTTCATGCACAAGGCGCCTCACGGGTCCATCACCTTCAGTTCAGGCACAGGAGAGGAAAACAGAAGTGATCCAACACCGTGCTTGTTGCTGACTGATGGCAACAGCAGCTGACCAACCAGTGGTTATATGCGCCGACAGACAGGTGAAGCAGATAGATGGCACCCAAAAAGAAACTTCATGGGCAAGCACAAAAAAGAAAATGTCAAAACAAGAGGAGTGTGCTTCATTTGAAAGTGGGCAAAAACAAAAAATAAACAAACTTTGTGGTGGTAAACATCTCAGCTGCTGCAGATCACAACACAGAGGAGAGGATGATTCTGTCTAGATGTGGACTCACTAGTCAAGTAAAAAGAGAGATACGTTTGTTGAAATACTTTCTTCGGGAGTTTTCGTTATTTTTTTACACGCATTTATCATCATGCAGCAGCTGATTGTTTATGGAGCGCACCGAGAGAGGAGGGGGTTGAGGAAGCGAGTGACAGGATGCTGAGTAACTTAGAGATTACGCATGGATGTTTGTTCCATTTAGTTCGTATTTAAATATTATAACGGGTATTTTGTGTATTGAGAGGGAACACCATTGTGACAATAAGAAACCCCATTAAGACAGTTTCAAACCTCTTCATTACAGCTGCAACTGCTCCCCCACCGGCTGCAGTTCATGATCAGCAGCTAAAACATGTATTTATTATTTTGGTTTTATGTGTAAATAAAATGAATAACACTCATTATTATTTATATTTAAAGATGAAAATCATCCTCCTCTCTGCAGGAAGACCTCAATAACTTTGTCATAAAGCTGTTCAGTTCCATCAGTAAGCCCTTTCTATGGCCATGGAGGTCAAAGCTGCGTCGACTCTGGCTGAGACAAACTAGTGACGGGGTTGGGCGGCCTCTCGTAATGGTGGCCAGTTTCTCTGGAAAAAGCCCATCTTTAAAACTGAACTGAAGTAATCCCTGAGACCAAATCAAGTTCTTCTTCTCCGTTAGCCACCTAGTTTGCTGTTGACAAGTGATGATGATGATTTTGGAGGACGGCTGGTGATGACTTTTACTCATAACACACTTTGAGACTGTTTTGAAGATCCACTTGTAAATAAGCAGGTCATAAAGCTACATGTGAGAGTAAAAATAAAGCCAGTCATGCAGCACAATATTTTATTCAATATTTTAAACCTACTACATCACTAAAGTCAGTCGGTCTTGTAAAGCAACCATGACTCAACCCTGACTGGGGCAGCCTACACTGAACAAAAATATAAACGACAGTTTTTGCTCCATTTCTCATGAGCTTTACTCAAACATCTGTCTAAGGCGCACCTGTACATTATTCATGCTGTCTAATCAGCCCCTTGATATGCCACACCTGTGAGGTGGGATGGATCATCTTAGTAAAGGGAAAGTGCTCACTGACACACATGTAGACAGATTTCAGAACAGTATTTGAGTGTCATGGGTGTTTTGTGTATGGAGACACATTTTCAGATGTTTGAGTTCAGCTCATGAAAAATGAGAGCAAAAACAAAAGTGTTGCGTTTATATTTTTGTTCAGTGTACAAAAACCCCTAAATAAATCTGCATAAGAGTAATTATTAAGAGCGGAGCTCATTCTCCTCTGAACACAAGTTTTGGAAGTACTTGTCTTATCCAGTATCCATCGTTTGTGTTGGAGTCGCCAGTCTCTCTGCCTGCCTTGTTGCAGGGGCGGCCCCCCCTCCCAAGCCTGGGCCGCGGGCCTGCTGATCCCCCCCGAAGCTCCGTCCCTGACCATTACTCGTCTTAGTGGG